AACGCCCTCACGCCTCTGGACACGGTCATCCCAAGAAGGCCTGGCCGGTCACAACACACAAACACACACGCAGACTGGCCGGTCACAACACACAAACACGCAGACACATGCACACACAACAATGGATGGCCATGACCCAAACTGTCAGACACAATGTTGTTTCAGTCGCCCTCAACCAGCAGTCGCCCCCAACCAGCAAGCGGCGCCCTTGCCTCTGCGCACGTTTCACTGGCCCGCAACCAGCAAGCCCAGCCTCTGGACATGGTCATCGCAAAGAGGACCGAGCAACACAAACGTACTGAAGCTGAAGCTGTGAGCGCTGCACGATTCTTCCCGACAATTTGCACACATTGAGCGTCAGCTGCGTGTCTGGGCTGGGAGCGTTGCCCAGCATCAACCTGCGCTGCTTGCGCTGAAGCCTTGGAAATGTACAACTACGCGATTCCCAGCTTTGGAAAGCCAATGATGGTGCTCCAGGTAAGATAAGTTCTGGGTTGAATAGTTCAGTGTAGCCACAACTGGAACTCGAAACAAATGCTTTTCGTACTTGCATTGGCCACCGGGCGTGGTCCCAAACTCCAGCTGGGTGTTGTATTTGCCTTGAATCTTGTCTTGGTTCTCAGTAAGAAAGCTTAAATCCCGGACATCGTCCAAAATAATACCGTCGTGGAGCTTCCGGTCAAACGAACGCAGCTTGTCCGGGAAATGCAAGAGAGGGCCGATCTTCAACTCCAAAGCATTCTGAAACAATGAGTGGGCGAACTCTGTTTTGCCAGACATGGAAGGGCCCAATAACAAAAGCACAGGGTAGCGCAAGGCATCGTCTCTGAAAAGAGCTTTCCAGGCTGTCACCTCCGGGATGTCTGGGAACGTTTGATACAAAACCGGGTTGGAGCGAATCCGCTTGGTGTTCTCTGCAACTACATCCGCAAGCTCCAGGCTTTCTTCGCGCTCCTTGACTGCGTCTAGATTGCGTTTGCGAGCAATTCCAAAGCTTTTCTGGCCACGCTCCCAGGACCTGGTAGCGAAACTTTTCGGCGGTCCAGACGGGGGCATAGTTCCCTGCAACGCACAAGTTGCCTTCAGGGTCGCCTGTTCCTATCTTGTTGGCCCACACATAAAAGAAACCCCTGTCCACGCTGATTTGCAGCTTCTTCCTGCAAAGGCCTTCGCCGCAAAGGTCTGTTGGTTGAACATTGGGCCTCACACCAGCAAACTGGAAGGCAGTTGCAGACATGTCCACACTGGAGTGGAATTGCAACATCACATGCGCGTGGCAGCTACTTCCATCCACACACGCCTCCAGCGTCGTGCACCAATGCTTTACACGCCACGGCTTAAGCTGGTTGACAATGAACATGTTCAAGCACACCCATTGCTCCAACCCGCTGAAGGCTTGGTAGGTCAACAGGACAGACGCTGCTTGGACGCGAAACTCCTTGCCCTCGGCAGCGGGTTTTGTAGAGCCTTCTGCCTGCACCAACACCAAATCTGCAGCCGCCTGCTTTGTGTTGGCCTTAGCCTGATCCCAGGCCCTGCGGGCATCATTGATCTGCTGCTGGTGCGCAACACTGCCACCACGGTCTGGGTGCACTTTCAAAGCAAGCTGCCTGAAAGCTCGCAACACTTCAGCATCCGAAGAGTCGCGGGTGCATGAAAAGTGTACTTGGTAGAGTGCTGCCAGGGAGCGCAGAAGAATGACCAAGGCTCGCTTGGCCTTCACAATGGCCGACGTGGCCATGATTGGGCTTTGAGCCAAGCGCGCTTGGCTGCTCTTGTTTGCCCACGCTTGTCACCCCCCGCCCCCACTCCTCCGCCGCTCCTCCGGCACTCCTCCGCCCCAAAACACTGAAAAAACGCACGCAAACTCAACACAACGGCGGAAGGGGCCTGAAACGCAACGCAGTTTTCCCTGCGCTGCGCGCAACTTGGCTCCTCCACCCTGTTTTAAACATATATTATTATATACTTCAGGAGCGGCTCCTCCGCCCCGCCCCCCGAGCCCCCGAGCCTTTCGCCTTTGGACCCTTTGCGCTAGGAGTCTCAGGGGGAGAGGGGTGGCCCATTCGCAAAAACAGTCCCAAGCATCTGGCCAAGAAGACTTGCAAGCATGTAAGCAACCTCAACAACCTTTGCCCCCACCCCGAGCGCCTGCAAACTGCTGGCCTTCATCGTCTCTAACTTGGTGGCCTGGCACACGGCCAACAACCTTGAAAGCTTGTCCTTGCTCTACTCATGGCAAGCAGCCCTCCACTGTTTTGGGCCCGCCTTTCCCCCACTGCCGGGGCACTGCTGTCACTGCACACGCCGCGCTACCCGGACACTGAAGAAAAACTCTGTCCTGCTGCCAGCAAAGCGCTGGCCACGCGCACCAAAAAACAACGCTGTACCAGGTCTCAGCCACTGGGGAGTTCACTGCCTGGCACGAGAAGTTGCTGCCAGCAAAAACCCAACAATGTCGGGCCTTCCGCCCCTGTCTCCTTGGCGGCAATCAACAGCTTCAAGTCCTCCCCGGACAGCTGCCGCGCAGCCTGCCAAGAAGGCAGCGCTAACAACCGGCCAGCCAAGTTGACTGGAACTGCACGCACAAACACAGACGCTTAAACTTTGACAGGAGGAGTCTGACGGTCTCGAGTACAGGGAAGCCGAGTCACACATTGCCCAGGCAAATGGCCTCCCGCCAGCAAGCAACAACAGCGGGCCAAACAGACTTTACACAACGTCTCGTCGTCTGCTCGGTAAGCAAGGTGGTGTCGGGTTGAGCTGACACTCAGCACACACACATACCTTCACGAGAGCCTTCCTACTCACACACTCGCATGAGTTGTCAACGGCAAAACGAACTTGACATGAAATCTAGAAGATTGGAAAATAGGAGCGGGTCACTTGGGTCGTCCTTCCTAACAGCGGGCATCCTTATCAGGAGTGCCAGCGCCCAACTGTCAGTACTTCACGCCTGTGCGCGTCATGAGAGGAACAGGGTTTTCACACACACACACACACACACACACACACACACACACACACACACACACACACACACACACACACACACACACACACACACACACACACACACACACACACACACACACACACACACACACACACACACACACACACAACACCACACACACACACACACACACACACACACACACACACACACACACACACAACACACACACACACACACACACACACAACACACACACACACACACACACACACACACAACACACACACACACACACACACACAACACACACACACACACCACACACACACACAACACACACACACAACACAACACAACACAACACAACACAACACAACACACACACACACAACACAACACACACCACACACACACACACACACACACACACACACCACACACACACACACAACACACACACACACACACACATTACATATAAACACACACACAACATACACATACACATACACATACACATACACATACACATACACATACACATACACATACACATACACATACACATACACATACACATACACATACACATACACATACACATACACATACACATACACATACACATACACATACACATACACATACACATACACATACACATACACATACACATACACATACACATACACATACACATACACATACACATACACATACACATACACATACACATACACATACACATACACATACACATACACATACACATACACATACACATACACATACACATACACATACACATACACATACACATACACATACACATACACATACACATACATATACACACACACACACACACGCAGCACGCGAACACACACGAACGAGCAAGACAGGCCACGCCCTGGCCTTTAGAAGGCGGACCTTCCGCTGCTTTGCGAGCTTCTTTTCTTTCCTGTTCTTGGAGATGGCCTTGCAGACCGCTGTGCTGCAAAACAAGAGCGCAGCGCCAATTCTCTTCACGAGCCTTCCGTAGCTCCGCCCGCTGCTGCTGTAACTTTTTCAGCTCGTCCTCCAGCAGAGCCTGAAGAGCGACTCACCTACCTTTTTGCTCCCCAAACACAAACGCCGCATGCCACTGATGGACCCACACCGTGCAACCAGAACAGCGGATAACAGCAAAAGCATCCCATACCACTTCCAAGCGCTCTTCCACGCCAAAGCCAGAAAATGTGCTCAGTTTGCGCGACCTGTTTTGGGGCCTGAAAAAGCATCCAAACTGAGGCCGCGCAAAAGGGCCTCCCCAGTACATTAGGCAACCGTTCTGGAGTATCATTACAAACAAAATCTGGGCTTTAGTTGGTGTTTTGGGGGAAAAGTGATTGAGCGTGCTTTTTTTAATGGAGGTCGCCGGAGGCGTGCCCAAAAGAACGAAAGGTTTGGTTATTTTATGACAAAGCAGTCAGCGCGCGATGGCAGTGGAACACTTTGGTATCCCAGAAAGGGGTATAGTGTCTCCTTAACCTGTGGGTCAAAGGAATTTGCGCTCACCCAAGTGCCTAGCGGTGTATATGACGAGGGGTGCCAACCTATGAGGCATTTTTTAGGGGTTCATAGAGGGTTTTCTACTTTAAGCAGGTACCAACCAGGCACAAAGCCACGTAATCAGCTCCCTGGCATATCGGAACTTACGTATGTCCAGCAGATCTTGAAACAGGTGAGGGGCCTCTGGGATCTGTTCTCAACCTCTACACAGTACAGAGTATTCCACTTCTTCAGGTTCCCTCACTACGGACCAGAATCAAACAGCTGATTTTTGCTTTGGTGAGGTATGATGGGTCCTAGAGGTATTTTGTGCTCACGCGGGTTGATGTCTCGAGCTCCTTGGATAGTCAACTGGCCCTGGGTCAAAAACCAATGGTACCATTTTGGGGTAGGTGCACTACCCATTGTAGAACCGATTTTAGTGGGGCAGCGGAGATGTTCACTGGGGCTACTTTTTTGGGTTTTGACCCATAGCCACCTCGCGGCTGGAGGCCAGAACCACCCGGACGCCTTGCGTACGGCCTGCAATCTCGCCGCCTGGAGGGCAAGAAGCTCTTTCCGTGTCTCACGAATCGCGTGACGAAGCTCAGGGTCCCCTTGCAGAATACCCTCACGCCCTGAGTTCCTGGACCTTCTTTTCTTTTTGGGAAGATCTTTCTAGTGGCAAATGACAAACTCGGCATTTGTTGGCCCACACACTGTAGAAGTGAGTGCCGGCCAGTTAACCAACCCCAAACAGGAAGATCCGCTTGGATGCCTTTAAGGCAACGTGACCCTGATTTACAGGTGACCGTCTAAGTTGTCGAGTCGACCTTTCAACCTACTCCATTTTGGAGGCCGGGTTCCAGGCCCAAAATGATCGATCGACATAAACATGAAAAGCTCGGAATGAAGGGTTCTTTGTGAATGGTGCGTGGGCCAGTTGCCGAGAAAGGTGGCCTGTCTTCTTCATTGTTCTTGGTTCCTTTGTTGTTTCGTTTGTAGTGTTATTGTCCTTTTTGTTGCCTGGTCCAATTCTGCAGCAATTCTAGTGAGGTATGATGGGTCCTTTTCTTGGTTCATTTTGATGAGTTGCAGCATCAGTGTCAATTTCCCACCATACGTAAACAGTCAATTCTACGTTTTTGTTTTTTTTTTGGCTGGCCTCCCTATGATGAAACTTGATGAAGGGGTCACAAAGCATGCAGAAGCGGAGCCGCTACTATCCCTTGTCTTGGGGGCATCTAGTGGGCAAACAAGTCCGGGATGGCGCTGTGGTAAACCTGGGGTTGGAGTTTCAGTCGGAAGGGTTGAAAGGTGTCTTTGGCGCTTTTCTCATGGGAACTGTCGCGTTGCCCCGGATTGAATGAAGGGCTTCAAGCTCATTCAGCTCATCAGCGATCCAAGTGATCCAGACCATGAAGGTTCAACCAACTCGTAGACGAAAAGCGACAAAGCAGAAACAGCTTGTCAAACCGCGTTCCAAGCAAGTTTCGTATGGCCAAATCAAAAGCAAGAAACACACACACACAGCCCAAGTGTTTGAAGGTTGGGCGCCAAGTCTGCCAAAGCGCGAGGCGTTGCCTGAACCCAGTTGATCAATCAAGCATGGGCTGATTATGGCGGGCTCACCTGGCAAAAGGAAGCCCTCCAATTTTCGTCAGCGTTTCCTGGGAATCTTTAAGTGTGCCAATTGTACCTATTCGTTGGGTATGCCAATTGGAGCTGTTTGACTTCATATGAAACAGAATCTGAACACAGCGTTTTCTGTGCACCCTAGATGTGGGCCAAGGCAACTCAACATTTTCCTCTCAGTGCGGAACTCCCGATCCGCCCGATCCGTTTCGCCTCGAGACTCGGAGACTCGGAGACTCGAGGCGGCGCTGCTGGCGGCCATGGGAAACACCAGCGAAGCGGAGCGACTCCGACTGAGAGAGGGTGGGATCCGTTGGGTTCCGTTTGGCTCGAATTTGTTGTCCTCGTTTCCTGTTCACCTCGCCGAGGTGGTTGTTCTGAAATTGGCGAGGCAGCCTCGTAAATCGAAATGCGTGTCTTAAATCGGGGAGCTCGCACTGGACGCTTTGAAGTTTCTCTGAGCAATTAAGAAGCGGGCGGAATGTTCGGGTGACCGGGTGATGCCTCGCTTCACCGAGGGCAAGGAAGCGCTGTCTGGCGGATACGTGTCAAGAGCGGGATTCCCATGTTCTAGAGCACTGCTTTGTGTTCGCATGTTGTTTTTTTTCGGCTTCATCCTGAGGTTCCCCCCTGCTGGTGCTCTTTTTGTACTTAGCCCTTGAATATCCCGCAGATCAAGTGCCCACATGCTGCAAATGCTGGGGTTACACAAAACATATATTTGGTTGGTCTTCTGGTGAAGGACGGGGCCATTTTAGTTTGGGCCAACTGTTCATTCAAGTCACATCCTCCAATGTCCTGTCCGCATGGCGCCCGCATCGAACCCAGCCCGCGGTTTTCCCACCCACCCAACTCCATGCCCCCCTATGGTCCTCGGAAGCCCTGGGCCGAGGAAGCTCTACCGGCACGCGGCCCAGGGCTTGGAGGCGGAGCTGGGCCCAAAGAACTTGGACACCCTGCCGGGGCCCCAAGGCTTCGGATCTGACGATGGCCTTAGGTCTGAGGACTCGCCGTGCGTAACCGTTGGGGTTCTCGAAGGTTTAGATCACCTTGAAGCGGCACAGGCGAGTTTTGCGGTTCGATTTTTTCTCCCCAGAGGCCCACGTTTTGGGAGGTATGGGATGCCGAGGTGGACAGTGACAAGGGAAGACCTTTCTGGGGAACTATGGGAGGCCAAGGGGATCAAGGGGAAACAGAAGGCGATGCTGAGTTCGGGGCACTTATGGGAGAAGCTGTGGGAAGCAATGCCTTTGTGATGCTGCGACCCGCATGGGGCACGGTGAGGCAGAAACGAAGCAGCCGAAAGCCGAGGTACTGCCTCAGCAAGCTGGCGCAGGTACTCAAGACTCGGGGCTACGCCCAGGAATCCGAGCAGTACCTGCAGCGGGTGGTGAAAGGCCGGGCTCAAAAAAGGGCTTCTTCCATTTGGCTAAGAATATTTTTATTCGCCCCCGATGGTTTTAAAGGGAATCTATTACCACTGGAAATAATTTTTTTTTTCCAGGGCCTTCAGCAAATGGAAGGTTTGCTTTGTGCTGCCACAATCTTTAGTCAAGGGACTTCTTATGCATCATGGGCCAAAAGCAAGCATCCGGACTTTGAGGAACCTCCCTTTGGGGACAACCCCCTTTTTGGTTCGGCATCGACAACGCTACGGAGTGACAGGACACCCCGGATGGTTTCCGCAGATTTTCCTTGTGGTTTTCGTCATCAGGCTTGTGGGACTTGCTCAGTTGGTGTCCATGAGGGCGAGATACATGAGAGAAACTCGAACCCCCCCCCCTCGCCTTTCGAACGCGATCTTTTGGTTTTTCGGCCAATCCCAGGGAAGGTTCCCTTTGGTGGTTGGTGTTCCAGGGGAAATCCGCCTGTCCATGCATATTCTTCAATCCGAAGAAGGTGGCCACGCAAGACCCACAAAGTTTGTGGTGTCCACCGCGCACGTCCCTGAAAACCAGTTCAGGTTCTCAAACATTCCACAACTCCAGGCTTTCCTCATCATATTAGTCTGGGCCCGAAATTCTTTCAACTCGTTCTGGGCAGTCAACTCAGCAGGTGAGTTTGGCTGTGCCACAAGGCAAAGCCACAGGGTCAACGAACCTCACCACCTTATTGAGGTCTCTGGGGGAAGCCTGAAGGCCTTGGCTTCGGAAGCCAATTTCGAAAACTACTGAGCTCGGAGCTTTCCCGGATTTCCACCTCCGGCGGCCTTTTTCCGGGGCCCCTCTTTTTTACCCCTCGTGGTGGGTGTGGTGGGTCTGTGGTCTGGGGGTTGGGGGTCGAGGCATGAACCAGAAGCTGGGGGCCCAGCACCCGGACACCTTGTGCAACGTGGCGGCCCTGGCCTCCGTGATGGAGCAGCTGGGCCGCGCCCAGGCGGGGTGCGCCGGGGGGGATGTTGCGGGGGGATGCTGCGGGGGGATGGAGGGGGGGGGAGAGAAGTGCGGTGGGGGGCGACTGGGGGCCCTGAAGCTGGGGAAATGTGGCTGGAATATGATGTTGATCGCAGATGAATGAACCCCCAGTTTGTGAGAAAAACAGGGGGTGTGCCTGGGTTAAGTGGGGATCCATCACTTTTGGAGGGGGTTTGCCCCTTATTCACAAACTGGGCTTAATTCAAAGGGGTTAACATTGGGAAGAGTACAGTGGTAAAGGGAAGCCGGAGCCCATTTCGGACCCCAAACTTCTTTTTTTTTTCGCCGGTGCAGGAGGCGGAGCCGGTGCAGAACAAGGCTCTGGATGGCTTCAAGGCGGACTCGACTCGGGGATTTTTCTCGGGTTAAAGACGGAGGTCGGCAAAATGGCTGGTCAAAAATCGGGGAACTCCCCAAAATGGGTTGCCCTGGTAAAGGGAAAGGACTTTCTAGAACCTGCGGTGCAAGTCCTGGTGGTTTAAATTTAGCCAACACCCAAGTATGGATTTGTCTTTTTTTGGAACCCTTCTTTGGTTGGTTTTAAAGGGAAGCCAAAAGGGACACCAGCCAGTTTTGGGGTGCCAACAAGTGACTTGGTGACTCGACACTGCACGCTCCCTGAACTCGAAAGCTTTTCAGGTGTGGGCCCATGTCGTTGGCAGAGATTGTGACTTTTGGCAGGTCAACCCCAGACCCTCATTGGCACTACAAGGTAGATGGTGCCCCTGCTCCTCCTATCAGAAAATCACGGGTATCTTCAAATGGGTGTCCTTTTTCGAGGGTACCCTTTTTGGGGTGGGTTTATCCAGGGTAGGAGCGCAAAAGGAAAGCCGCCAATTTGGAGGGCCCCCTATCTTGAGACCCAGCCAGATCACTAACCCAAAAGCAAAAGTTCACCGCAGGGACGCCTCGGCGACAGCCACCCAGACACGGCGCGGGTCCCGGGCACTGGTGGATCCGGTCAGATGCCCCGTGTCCGACGCCGGGTGTTTAGCGGTCGATTTTTTTCCAGCAATTGAGAGGTGACATGAGGGGGTCCGCAAACACAGGGGACACCAATTCTCCCATGCCCCCAGAGAGACTCGCAGCAACGAGCTTGCGAATCCTTCGCCCAATAGCAAGTGGAGGCTCAAGGCGCCGCTTTGACAAAAAAACGAGCTTTCAAGTTCTTCGTCCTAGCTTTTCTTTATTCTCAAAAGGTACCGCCCGGCGGAAATCAACTGGAACACGCGAATTCCGAAACTTCGGCAACCGCAAGTTTCCTAAAGATTTCCGCAAAGCGCGAATTGAAACAAAAACACACGCTTGCACAGTGCAGCAAGCAGCACGTCGCAGCACGGAAAGCGACACAAATCGCGCTGCGCCACTCCCCTCTCAGCGTGAACAGCGCGGCAAACCTTTCAGCACTAGGGATTGCGGCGGTCTAACACGCCGGCGCAGCCGCGCACGGGTAGGCTGCCTTGTGAAGCAGGAGTTTTGCCGTTTTTGGACGTGTGCTAGGAACCCTGGCAGTGCGCTCGCTCGGTTGGCGTGTGCTTTGGCGCGTTTGGTTTTTTTTGAAAAGAGCCTTCCCCACCTTCGAACAAACATGGACAAGAACGCCTTGCATGGGGATCACCAATTGTGACTTCTCTTGAAAATGGGTCCGGGACGCTTAGGGGGCGGGATTTTCTGCACCAAGCCCCCCTCCACCCCCACGCCGCCTGGCAAGCCGAGGTGGAGAGCAAAATGGGCCTGGCCTCCATCCACACAGCCCTGGGCAAGCACGAGGAGGCCGAGCCCTTGCTCCAGGAGGTGCTGGAGTGGCGGGCCCGGGCCCCGGAGTCCACAGTGGGGTGGGCCCGTTTTTTCCGGGGGATTTGGTGGCCAGGGTTGCCCTTTAAAACCTGCAAAAAAGGTGCCCCTTTAAGAAGACGGACCCTGTTCGCTTTTCCTGTTTGGGCTTTGAAGATTTAGACAAGGCCATAAAACGAAATCTACTAGTTCGGCTGGCTGACACCTTGTGCTTTGATCGTTTCTGGGGGCTCGAGCAGGTCCAGCACGGTGGTCAAGAGTCCGCTTTTCGTGGACCCAGCCATGACAATGCATGGCGACCGAGGAAAAGAAGCTGGGCCCTCTGCACCCGGACACGTGCCCTGGCTGGAAGGGCTTTGGGGCGGCTTTGAAGCAGCTGGCCACTTGAAAGCGCCCATGAGTGTGTCTGTTTTCTTGGGATGTTTGGGGTTGGCTTAAAGGGAAACCGTGTTTTCCGTTTAGCCCGCAAAAAGTGAACGGTTGCGCCAGGGTCTGTGGAGTATCCCCGGTTGTCGAGGATTCCCAGCTTCTTGGGGGCGTTTCTTGGAGAAGCGAATGGACATTACCATTGGCATCACTGGCTACTTGTTTAGCTCCTGTTTGTGGAAAGCGGGAACCAACCACAGGTTGCTTATCTGCTGACCAGCAACAAGTGCTGGTGGACTCCCTTAGGGGACGAATCGTCTTTCACCGGATATGCAGGCGTCACCATCGTTAATGGGATGGTCTTGCATTTCCAGGGCATGTCTATGGGGTTACCCTTCACACACCACCGATACAGTGCCCTGTGGGTGCTTTCTTCAAGGGTTTCCGCATGTTAACCCACAAATCCGAATCGCCAATGAAGGGCCAGGTTTGACAAAACGAGGGGTGTCCTTTTTGCTGCAATTCAGCTCAGGGGCATACGAACCTGTGCGAGACCGCCTTGGTTTCTTCCAAATAAGGTTGCTTACAATACAAACCCAGGCCTTCACCTCCATGGAACTCGGGTCATTTTTTTGACTGCTTCTGGGGGTTGTCGGGTTGTGAAAGCCAGAAAGTTGTGTGTGTGTGTGTGCCCCTTTTAGCTACCACTTGGGGGGTGACTTTGATCATGGTCAGGGCCAGTGGAAAGGAGAGTGCTGTAGCGAGGGGTTGCTTGCAGCCACACCGTCAATGCGCTAGAAGCACTAGCAAGCTCGCCCATCCGGGTGCACTCTGTGTGTGCGACCTGCGACTCCTGATTTTTTCCATTGGGATATTTTGTTACACGGCCCCCCAGAAGGTCCCACGGCACTTCCTCGAAATCTGTGACTTCGATAGAGTGGAACTTGAGAGCTGAAGTCCAGTGACCTCAGAACGTGTCTCGCAACAGTATACACCTGAGAACGTGTTGTGGGAAATCAACGCCTTCGGCGGAGGAAAAGCAAAACTCCGAGCGCGGCGCGGTGTCCGTTCCCCGGTTCCGAGCCTTCAGGCTGGTGTGTCTGAACCGCCTGGCGGAGACGTCTTTGGCCCTGGGCCACCTGAGACAGGCACGGCGACCGGGGTGTCTGACATTCTGTTGGGCGTTCCCCAAGTTCAATGAGTCTTGAAGTTTTGAAGTTCTTGTTCTTGCAGCACCGAAAAGAACTCGGAAAGTCAATGGACATTCCTATGTGAATCTGCAGCAAAGAGACTCACACAATGTGAGGGGCGCTCATGGGGTCACAGCCACGCAGGTGAAGACATCCGGTGCCCGCGTGGCTGCGCGCTTTCTGCTCAAACTGGCGTTGCCTGCAGAAAGCCGGGAGGCAAGAGCTATGCAAACATCCTGCGAAGAAAGATGGCTGTACCATCGCCCGCAGCCCTCTCTGGCGAGTTTCACTGTTTCATTCTTTTCCATCCGTCTTTGCCGGTGCCTTCCCCCCCAGCTGAAAGGTATGGATTTTGGTTTCCGCCCCCCCCCCCCCAACAAAAAAAAGAAGAAAAGAAGCAAAGAAAAAGAAGGAGAGCGCTCCAGCCTTCAACCCGGGCTCCTTCCGGGCTCCTTCCGCCCTCCCCAGCCCCCGACCCCATGGCGCAGCCGCTGCCCCCGGAGCCGTCGCGCTCGCGGGGCGCGGAGCTGCTGTCGCAGGGCCGCATCCCGCCCTGGGCGGAGGCCTGCAACGGGCAGAAGGCCATTCTGCAGCTGGCGCCTCGGGCGGAAGGCGAAAGCCAAAGGGCCTCCCATGGGGCCGGGCCCTCGCCTTTTTTTCTTCTTTCCTTTTTTTTTTCTTTCTTCTCCTTCCTTCTCTTTTAATTCCTTTTTTTGTTTGAGACTGTTGAACCTCAAGTCGCGCGATTTTTGTAGGAGGAGCCAGGAAAGTGCGGGAGATCTGGCGACGCCCTGCCTTCACTGGTTCCAGACAAGACCATGACCCAGAAAACTTGGTCCAGTAAAACCGGATCCCACTTCTCCTTGCAGAGAGTGGAAGTCCGTTTGGGAACACAGCACCCACTAGACAAGGAATTCGGTGGCAAGTTCCCAGCAATTGACCCTCCCATACTGGAGGAAACCAGGGAGAGGGTGAGGGGGGAGTTCCTTGCAGATTTCTTTCAGGTTTTGGACGCCTAACGATTTGCAGTCCCCTTGTATGGTGGCCACTTAGAGTCGAATTCTGGCTGGAACATCCCCCCTCCCCCCTCCCCTGCCCCCGGGAATTTGCAGCTCCCAACCCCACGAAACAAAACCCAAACCCCGAAAACCGACAACCCCATGTGACCCACCGATCCACCCCGAGGAGGCGCTTCTGGGCGCCCGCAAGGCGCGGAAGAGCGAGGCGGCGCAGGCGTCCAAGCGGCGCTGGCAGCGCTGCCCGGCGAAAACCGCCTGGTTGTGGGGGCAGGTCGAACGGGTCGCGGTGGCGGTGCCCGGGTTTTTTCCGCTGCCCCCCCTGGGTTCGCAGAGTTTTTTTTTAGGGGTTCCTTTCAAAAACAACCAGCGCTATTTTTTTTGGGGTGTCCACCTGGCTACTAAAGGTCAGGATTTCTTTCCATTGACACCAAAACACAGGGGGAGAACATTAATTAGCAAAGGTCCCCTCTGCCATCCCAATTTCTACCCTGTGGTAAAATCTCTGGGTGCATTTTTTTTGTGAGATCTCTTCAAAAGCAGACGTTCAATCTCTCCTTCCGGTTCCTTAGCTTTTTAGCGTTTAGGGGGATTCACTTTCAGTGGATCTGAAAACGGACCGCCAAGTGAGCCGCAATGGGGTGCCTGAGGTGAGAAGTACGAGCGCTGGGTGGAGGAATGGGAGCGCCTCTCGGATGGATTGATGTGGGGCGTGTTTGGTCGGTTTCAGGGGTGTTCGGTTTCGGGTTTCCATGCCCATCAGGGTCCCTTCTGTTTCACCCAAAAGGGGTGCCAAACGCGTCTGAAAGAAGTGGCCCTTTCGGAATGGGTGCAGTTTTGGAAGGAGGACACATTGCAGTTTCGCATTGCCACCTGAAGCTTTTTTTTCTCCTGGGGCGTGTGAACTCTGCCAATGAGATTAATTCTCAACTGATCCTATGGCTGTGTAATCCAAGGTCAATGGTAGCACTTTGCCACAAAGCTCCTTAGTCCTGGTGGTTTGCTTTGGTGGTTTGGAAGTTAGGCAAGTGCCTTTCCATTCGGGCCTGCTTACCAAATCCAAACCATCAAGAAGCAGTAAGGATATTTTTTCGCGCCACTAAATTTTACCGCCCATTGCCCCGTAACACTGTCCGGGAAAAGGGGGGACATCACTTGCACTTGCAGGAGCCAGTGGGGGAAACTTCATTCTTCTCTGTGTGTTCAAGCTTCATTCTGATTCAGTCTCAGACTAATAATGCACTTTTGCCCCTTTCGCTTTCTTCTTGCAAGTTTTTCAGTAGCACTTAGCCTTTGAATGACCAGCCCACGGACTTTCTACTTTTGGGAAGACCGTTTTAGTGGTAAACAGACAGTTCAATCATGTTTTGGCCAAGTCTAATCGATCGGAAGTGAGTCAACCCCTTTCAACTCAAATTTGGGCACTTCTTTTCTTGCTGCTCAGCAGGGAATGTGGGAAAGAACCCAGGCTTTGGTCCCCTTCAAGTTGAACCCACCCTTGTTGGATGGCTTTCCCTTGGTCCTTCCATCGCATTCCAGGCGCATCTCAACCGCGCCCGCGCCGGTCGCCCTCGTCTTTTCGGGGGCCATCCGATCCCCGAGCGAGCGAGCGAGCGAGCGGGCGAGGTGCGCCGGAGGCGCCGGCGGAGCGCTTCTGGCGCCGCCACGGCTTCGGCCGCGGCACCCGCCGGGAGGTGCCCTCCGAAGGCCACCAGGCGCGCCAGGGGCGCAGCGGTGGCTGCCCGGTGGCGACAGGGGCCCCCTGCCACGGGAAAACGACGTGTTTTCGGGGCAAATGTGTGTTTCCGGATCCGTTTTTTTTGTGTGTTTTGAAGGGCTGAGTGGCTTTGGTGGGTGTTTGCTGTTGTTTTTGGTTGGCTGTTGGTTGGTGTTCGGGTGCTCCTAGATCTTTGGCTTTTGGTCGGACTTTGGTTGGTAATTTCGTTTCGTTCCTTTTTTTTTCTTTTCTGGGTAGTGCTTTGGTTGGGACTAGGCAATTTTTCCTAAGAGTAGCTATAGCAGAAGATTGCCCATCCCTTGGTTAGTTGGCCGGCTGTTTGTTTGTTTGTTTGTTTGTTTGTTTTGTTTGTTTGTTTGTTTGTTTGTTTGTTTGTTTGCTTGTCTGTTTGTTTGTCTGTCTGTTTGGTTAGTGGCTGGCTGGCTGGCTGGCTGGCTGGCTGGCTGGCTGGCTGGCTGGCTGGCTGGCTAGCCGGTTCATTGGTTGGTTGGTTGGTTGGTTGGTTGGTTGGTTGGTTGGTTGGTTGGTTGGTTGGTTGGTTGGTTGGTTGGTTGGTTGGTTGGTTGGTTGTGTGTTTGCTTGCTTGCTTGCTTGCTTGCTTGTTTGTCCGTCTGTCTGTCTGTCCTGTCCTGTCCTGTCCTGTCCTGTCCTGTCCTGTCCTGTCCTGTCCTGTCCTGTCCTGTCCTGTCCTGTCCTGTCCTGTCCTGTCCTGTCCTGTCCTGTCCTGTCCTGTCCTGTCTGTCTGTCTGTCTGTTCCTTTGAACGTTTTGTTGGTCGGTATTTTTTGTTTGTTTTTGCGATTTTGTTTGTTTCTTTGTGGTCTTTTTGGTTGCTTGTGCTTGTAGCTGGAGGTCTTCCGAAGTGGTCCCAAAACGCCGAAGCAATCAAATTCCACTTTGGTGGCTTGGGGGCTAAAGGGCTAGCAACCCGAGTAGTAAGTTATAAGTGCTATACATGGCATTCACCCAATATCTAAGCTAACTCCCGGGCTATGCAAGCACCCCATCGCACCATCGCACAGGGACTTGGGAGCCTACTGTATGCAGGTGGAGCCGTGGGACGAGCTGGCGGCAGCGGAACGGCCACAGGCAGTGGGACAGATAGCGGTGGAGCTGGGAAAGCCTGGAATCTTTTTGATTACTTGGTGGCTCCCGGCCATCCGGTTCCTTAGCTTTTTAGCTTTTTTAGCTTTTTAGTGTTTAGTGGGGTTTTCCAAAAAGTTACACTTTTAGCTGGGGATCTGAGGACATCTCGAATTATACATGGACCAGGATGGAAGAAACAACAACACGTTTGGTGCGGGGCCGGCCAAGAAAGGTGGTCCCAGACGGAGGTTGAAATGCCAACAAAGCTTTCGGTGAGGGCTTTTGGAAGCACAAAGGCTCTCGCTTTTTTGGGGTGGCGGATGACGCTCTCCAACAACACAGACTCTTTGCCTCTCCCTGCCCTGTTGCACCAATCGAAGATAGTTCTGCCCTATGGTTTAAAGGGTAGCGTGGCCTTGTTTTCGGACCACTCTTGTTTCAAGAACCTTTTTTTTTTTTGGCTTCGTCCAGGGGACCAGGGGTTTGCAATGGTAGCGCACGAGGGCTGTCTTACATCTACCATTAGACACCTTGGCACAGGTGTCTCACTTTGGGCAGATAATGGATGGATTTCTGACTCCAGTTTGGTTCTGATCACCTTGCTGGTGCTCAGTACGGAATGAGAAATGGAATGACCGCATTATCACCATCCCATCTGGTTTCCTTGGGGAGTCCTAGGTTCATTCCGAATCATTTTCTGGCACCGGCGCAAGTCATTTACCAGGTTCAGTAGGTCCTGGGACAAGGCACAAAGGGCCAAACATTTGCCCGGCTCTCGGGGATGACCAGGTCCTTGAGACGCAGCGCAGGGCCTTCGCCCACGCGCAGGACGGCGTGAAGGCCGTGCTGGATGGAGGCGCTTGGAAAAGTCTGGATGGAGCATTTCCCAGTTGAGAGGTCTGCTACTTGAATGCTCACCATTTGGCTCTGCAAGGGGGGGGGAAACTTGGGGTTATCACAATTATTGACGTCAGAGGGGTCGGGTGTCGGCTTGGAGGGTCGGGGAGGGGCCCACGGGATCGGTTTAAGGTCAAGGAGTTGTCAATTGGTCTTTGCCGTTGGTTTCGGTGGTTCAAAAGTTCAAATGCTGCCTCTTGGGCCAGTGCTAACTTGCTGCGC